TATTAACCATCAGCTTGCTGTTATGCTGGTCCTTTAGAAAAAAAGACATTTTCTCCTTAAATTTTTTTCTCAAACTAAAATATACATTTGCAACATTTCAAGCTTCCTCGGGTGGTCAGTTCCTAAGGATGAAGCGTGACTAATTCCTAACATGCAGGCTACGGAAGGAAGGCTTCCCCAGATCAGATCCACCACATCTGTTTTTATAGAGAGAGTCACCACCCAAAAGGTAAAAAATGCAATAAAAGTACGTCCCGGCCAGGACTTTAACAGGCAGCCCTTTTTGTCCATTTCAGCTGTTCAGTGTCTCACAGCACTAATATTTCAAAGACAACTTTAGAACATGTTGAAGTAATAAATCTAGTCTAAAAATTGGCCTTTCAAATTGTTTGTTCTCTCAAAAAACAAAACAAAAACACTGAATAATCTGCTATAGACAAATGTTTTAAAGTAAGAATGCAACCTATGGATTACTTCTTCAGGTTACATTTTTCAATGCCATCTCTGGACTATAGAAAGAACTCAGCTTTGAAGGCTACTAAATACAGTTTCCAGTCTGGAATTTTTGAACTAATGTAAGATTGTGTCTTGATCTATTCACTGAACATGTCAAGATTCCTAAATAAAGGGAGATTTCTTCTACTTAAACTTCTGTTTTATAAATCAGAAACTTTAAAAATATTCAGCAACTCCCAATCTGAATATTCCTAACCACCTTTTAATGGTATCTTTGTAAGGAAAAGACTGCTTATTCATGTAGGCACCTTTTAATTTATTGATCTCAGAAGGAAAATCCTACCCAGGCAACTCCCCTTCTCAGTATAATAAAGAGGCTAAGTTAACTTTTGGCCTGTGTGGAATAGCTTCCTCCCCACTCTAAAACGAACAAACAAACAAACAAAAAAAAACCTGTTGCATTGGTATTTGTAATGAAGGGTTTTAAAGTGAAATCACAGACATGTACAGAGCGCCCACTGTGTGCAGGGCCAGCACAGACAGAACCCGGACCCAAATCCCAGCTCTGTCTCCTGCTGCCTGCCAGGCTCCAGCCAGGCCACCTCCCCCTAGCCCTCTCTGGGCCGGCGTCCTGACCTGCAAAACTAGGAGCAGAGTCCCTTCCAATGTTCCCCACCAAAGAATGTGAGACCCCCTCTAGGGAGGGTCAGGGAGTGTTCACTGAGCAGGACTTAAATTTGATTAGAATTGTATGAAGTACTGAGCATGTGCAGCACTATAAGCTATGTGCTGGGGGAACACAAAGCTTCACTAAGATACAGATCATGCCCTCAAGAAGCTTCCAGTCGGGGGGGGGGGTTAGGACATGTCAACAAAGAGATAACACAACATGACAAGCCACAAGGACTCAAGATTCCAAATGTCTTGAGAAGAACAAGTTCATTACCTTGGGGGGGAGGGAGGCTGCTGTCTGAGCTGGGCGTTCAAGCATGGATGGAAATTCACCAAGCAGAGAGTTGATGGCATCTCTGGCCTAAGGAACAGTGTGAACGAGAACGAAGAGAGGAGAGAGACCATCACTTACATGGTGAAGCCCCGAACTTGAGAGCGAAATGTATTTGAACCACAGGGCAGAACGGAAGGTTTTAAAGACGCATGGGCGTCTGAATGAATGGCACTGCCACTGAGAGGATTAATGGAGGAGCCAGGAAGTGGAAAAGAGCGTGGATTGAAGACGAGCCTGGTCTGAGATGTGCTGAGCTTGGGGATAGAGAAGGTCGATCGAGACCGGAAGGGTCATGGGAAGGGGCACGCCAGCCTGGCCAGAGTCCAGGGTTCATAGAGAGAGAGTGTGAGAAATGACCTGGGGAGGCTGGCTTGGGGAGACAACGTGAAGGCCTTCAGTGGCAGTTTGAACCTTATTCTGCAGGCTTGGGAAACTGCTGAGGTGAATAATTAATCCTAATCAAGAACTTTAGACTCTCTCTTCCCTTTTGGCTCAGAACTGTTCCATCTTTCCAATTAATTGTAGCTAATAATATAGCCCTTTAGGGTTTAAACGTGTTACATCTAATTTGGTAATAAAATACTTCTACATCAAGGACCTATGAATTTACATGGGAGGCCTTCCTCTGCCCTCAGAGGTCACAGCCCATCTCAACAAGTCATGCATTACTAGGGCCAACAGTTACATCCCTGTGTCTCTCCTGATACAATTTTAGCCCATCTTAAGTTACTGGTCTTTGGTCACCTGGTGTTCAAAGGCACAGTCTTCGAGAACTCAGGGTTACCCCCACGCCATGATGAGATATCAGAGAAGGGCTTTAGTGGAGCCTAGTCATGAATAAATCCAGCAGTCTAAGGGTTATAAAACATTGGCCTCCAAACTCTGTGAGGCAAACATTTCAAATCTTGTGATCCTCATTTTACCAATGGGGAAATGAAGGATTAGAGATATTAGGCATGCCCACCGTCAAATCACAAATCAAAATCAGTAAACATTTATATAGCACCTACTGTATGCAAAACCCATTTCTGGACCAAGTAAGGTGAAAGTGGCCTCCAGTTAGGAAAAGGCAGAGTCAGAACTTGAACTCAGGTCTTGGGGCTCTAAACCTAGCATTCTTTCCACTCTGTCACAGCTATCTTCTCCTCTGCACAACGCGGCTGAGAAGACTCTTCGGAGAAGGTTTCTACGGCTGGGGGCTTGGCCATTTTTAAAGGGGTTTTCTTTTTACTGGAGAAACAAGTGCCTCTGCTATACTGCTCTGATGCCATTAACATGGAAGGTGAGCATTCCCTCTGTCTCTCTTCTCCCAAGGGTCCCTACCTTCAAAGGGTTTCCCCAGTAGAGAGGGAGTCTGGCTAGAACCCGGTATTTCAGGGGGAAAGACGGGAAGGAAGGGCGCATCATCCCCTAGGGTTTCTCCCACGGTGATGGGCTGGGAGGATCTTTCCGAGGCCCTAGAACGTCCAAGTGTGCTGGAGCTCATCAGCCACCAGGCGGAGTGAGAAGGAGCTGAGCGACGGGCCGGCCGCTTCCCTTGCTCAGGGTGGAAGTGCTGGTCGGGTCGGCTGTGGCGTTTCTGCCCTGGCACTAAAACAAAGAGCGCACACAGAGACGCTGCGTGCTGTCGGCCAGGGCTGTGCAGGAAGCGGCAAGCCTGGGGTGGGCTGGGGAGAGTCGTACGAGCTGGATTTGGGGAATGCACAGAGGAGCAGAGAGGGGTGGGGGAGGCCGGGAGGACTCTGGGCCATTTGTGTTTGATTCTTAAGCAACGGCGCTCCTTCCTCAAGCCTTATTAACAGCAGAAGTTCAAACCCAGGGCTGCCGCGTGTGCCTGGGAGACAGTCTGACACTGCTACGGACGAGCATCAGGTCGTCCTGGCTGGAATCCCAGCTCTGGCCCTTCCTAGCCCGCTGACCCTAGGCAAGTCTCAGCTATAAAAGGAGCTAAAGAGGTCTGGAATCGGGTCGCTCAGCAAACTTTAGAGTTACCATTTTCTGGTCCTGTGGAGAGAGGGCGGGATGTCCCATCTTGTTTCTGCTACTACTTTGGGGGCTTGGTGTCCTTATCTATAAAATGAGAAGGGGGGTGGTCTCCAGGGCCCCTGAGGCTAAGCGCAGAGGAGGCCCCATCTGCCCAGGCTGCCCTCATCTGCTCCAAACCTAGAGTTTCACCACCAGGACTACAGACACAAACCACACAAAGCTGGAGGGGCCCCTGAGGATGGGAGAGTCCATACACTCTCATTATTATATTAGAGGAAAGGGAGGCCCAGGGAGGTGAATCAGGGTCACAAGTGGGATCTGAACTCAAGTCCTCCAACTTCAAAGCAAGGGCTTTTGCCTATATCAATGAAATCCCAGATCTCCCCCTGCCCCCCAAAAGTACTGACTTACGGTTGGGACATATTACCTACCCCCAATCCCAGCAGGGAAGCAAGCTCTTTGATGGCAGGAACTTGCTTTGGAGCCAGAAGACCTCTGATCCTCGCTATCAGTGTGACCTTGGCAAAGTCACTTAATTGGGGGGGTCCTCATTTTCCTTAGGTCTGACCTCTGATCCTTCCAAACTGTCCCTCCACACAAGCTCCTTCCAGTGCACAGCCTCCCCCAGTGCAGGCATTTAACAACAGCCATGATCAGGAGGGCATTCATACAGGGCTCTCAAGTTTGCAAAACACTTTACATACATGTCGCCTCACCTGACTCATAAAATGTTTGGTCATTGAGGGATCACAGAGCTCAGAGGGGCCTCCAAGCCCCTGTAATCCAAACTGCTCATTTTACAAGTGGAGAAACTGAGGCTCAGGGGATGACAGAGAGACAAAAGGGTCCTTAGAGCCCATCCAGTACCACCCCCTTACAGTTCCAGAGAAAGAAAACCGAGGCTCAGACAGAGGGACTTCAGAAGCCAATTAATCCAACGTCCTCCTTTTACAAATGAAGAAACTGAGACTCAGAGATTCTAATATCACATACAGATCTAGAGGTGGCTGGGAGCTCCAAACTTTACAAAGAAAGAAACTGAGGCTCACAGAAAATTATAACATCACATATTGACTGATTGACGCACGGCTCTGGAGCCCACCCCTTCCATTTTATAAAAGGAGAAATCGATTACATCATATATTGGTTATCAATCAATACGATTGACACGGGGTTCTAGAGGAGGTAGGGACCTCGGAGCCCACCCTCCCCTCTTACAGAGGAAGAAACTGAGGCTCAGAAAAAATTATAGCATCACATATCGATTACCAATCAACACGATGACACGCGGCTCCAGAGGCGGTGGGGACCTCGGAGCCCATCCTCCCCTCTTACAGAGGAAGAAAGTGAGGCTCAGAGAAAATTATAGCATCACATATCGATTATCAATCAATACGATTGACAGGCGGTAGGGACCTCGGAGCCCGCCCTCCCTCCTGCAGGAGATCAGCTGCGGCTCAGAGATGACCGTAACATCACACCTTCATTGACATGTACCCCCAGCCCGCCCCTCCCATTCATTGTCCCCCGGGCAGCCCCAGTCCGGACTCACCTCCACCTGTTGATGCCCACGTTGGAAGAGCCCGCGAACCAGGGGTCCAGGATGTAGACGCAGCGCACGGTGTCGGCGCCCTCGATGCACTCTTTGAGCGCGGGGTTGTCGTGGAGCCGGAGCCCCTTCCGGAACCAGTGCACGGCGTTCACTCCCATCTCGCGGCCGGCCCGTCTCCCCGCGGGGCCTTTGAGAGATAGGAGGGCTCTAGGACCCAGCGAAGCCCGCGGCCGCCCGGCCCGGCCACATCGCGTCCCGGCGGACCTGGGGGGGGGCCTCGCGCCGACGCCCGGCGGGGGGTCACGTGGCGGAGCCGACCCGGGTTGGGGAGGGGGCAGGGGGAGAAGCGGGTGAAGCTCGGGTTCTGGCGCCGGTTCCACTCCGAGTCCGGTCCCGCTCTCGCCCGACTGCTCTGGGCTCCCTGAGTCGGCGGCAGCTACGGCTCGGACTCCGGCTTCTCGCGCTGGGGCGGACGCGTCAGCGGCCCACGCCCCGCCCCCGACCTCCCATTGGCTGGTGCCCCCGCCACGTGACCGCCAGCTCGTCACGTTTCTGAAGTGTGTTTACTACTCCCGGCAACCGGCGGCAGGGAGGAGCTGGGGAGCTATGGGCGGCGCCTCGCGTTCTCGAAGCGGCCGCTCGGCCTCTCGCCGCCGTCGCCGCCTTCGCAGAACTGAGTCGTAGCCGACGGCGCTGCCAGTCCCCCGCTCTCCCGGGTATCAATGGTGTCCCAGCCTCCCCCTGCGCCTACGGAGTCGGTGACGACCTCTCCCCGTTCCGCGTGAGCGAACACCCAAGCCCCGCCCCCGAGGACTGCGATTGGCTGCTGACAGGCCGGGCCCGTGGAGCCCCGGATGAGCACGGGGCTGCAAGGAGCTCAGCGGCGGCCGCGCGCACGCGCACCAGGGGCGGCCCTGCACGCGCCCAGCGCGCGGTCCCGTGCTCAGCAGTGAGCCTGCGCGGCCCCTGCAGCCCCTGCCCCTGCTCCTGCCCCGTGGGCGGGGTCGGGAGGCGGAGGCTGGGGAGGCAGGGCGCTGGTCCGGTGGGTTACGTAACGCTGGGCTTGACCCCACTCTTGTGCCCCGCGTTACCCCCGCGCTCTCCAGGGCGCCGCCAAAGTGATCCCCGAAGTGACGTAGTGAATCTGTATTCAGGAGTCAGGAGGACCTGAGTTCAGGACACCCACTAGTTGTGTGATCCTGGGCAAGTCCTTTAACCTCTGCCTCAGTTTCCTCACCTGTAAAATGGGGATACTATAGTGCCTACCTCGCAGGGTTGTTACTGAAAATCAATGGAGATAATATTTGTAAAAAGCACTTACTTAGCAGGGTGTCTGGCACATAGTAGGTTCTATATAATGCTGGGTACCATCAGTGACCCCCCTGCTTATAGGCACCCCCAAGTGACGCTCTCTTCCCAGGCACTCCCAGAGAGGACCTACCACTCTTCATCAATGGCTGACACCTCCTTCCTCTTCTGGAGTGACCTGCCCCACAGACTCCCCTTCTCATACACCCCTAGGGACACCCGGTCCCCAGGATGTGAGGACACCCTCTCCACATACACACATCCACTCATGGCACCCCCATTTCACTTTGCCCAACCCAGACTACTTCCAGTTGGGGTTTTTAGACTGTCTTTCTGATGTCCTTTCACAGTATCCCCGAGTCTGACTCTGGGGGATGAGCAACCTCTGGAAGGGGACCTGAAAAGACTTTTCTACCTCTCCAGGGAGGGGGAGACTGGCCGATTTTTTTTTTAATCATGGAAACCCCAGGGCTGCTGTCGGTGGCTCAGAGCCCTTGTCAGACTCCCCAGCAGGAAGAGGAGGCAGTCCTCACCCCATCCCTCACCCCTACCCTGTAGGTCCTCCCCCTTTGCTGATGTCCTTGAGGGCCTCCAACACTCCTGCACCCTCCCCTAGAGATTCACTCCATCCCTCTGACTCATCAGGTCTAGAGCCTCTTGGCTCTGTGATCTGGCGGCCTCCAGGTCACTCTCCCTTCTTTCTCAGGAAGCCGGGCATCTAGCACAAAGTCTCCCTCTTTGCTTCCCCCCTCTGCCCTTATAGTTGCGGAATTCAACATAAACGTTCACCTCCCACCCCCATTGACACTCTCCTCCAGATTCCCATGATCGACATCTCCCCTCCATCCAAGGATAGACCTCCCCTTCACACCAAACTGTGCCACCTTGAAATCTGATCTTGGAATCTGAAATCACTATTGCCCATCCTTCAGCATTGTCCGTGTCTCACTCCTAAACCCAATCTTGGTTCTCACAGGCAACCTATGATTTCCTCAGTCTCTGACTCCCTCTTTCCCCAGTGCGTTACCCCTGCTCTTTGCTCATTTTCTTGCCTTCACTGTCTCATCTCCACAGTTAACCAGTTCAGCAAGGCTCTGTCGTGCACCTTGGATCACTTGTTCCCTTGTTTTGCTTTCACTATGACAACTCTCAAACCTGAGTCACTCCCATTGTCTTTTTCTTCTCCTACTGCCATGCCTCAGAATGCCTAGCAAAGGAAGCCATATGGATCTGCTATAAAGTCATGTTCTCTGCCCTCACCTGGATCCTCACCATTCCAGAACGTCAGCTCTGATACTCCTCACAGGATCCGCAGTGGTTGTTCCAAACCTCAGTACTCTCCACACCCTCAGATCACCCTGATTCCCTCTCTTAGCGGCCTCGTAGTTGACTCAGAAAATCTTGGCCGTCATCAGTTCCCATTTCTCCCCAATTCTGTACCTCAGCACCTGTCTGCGTTTATACCTATCCCCCTCCTTTACTCCTAGCTTGAAGGAAGTCCAACTTAATCAAGTAAATCCTTTTTCTTATACCTTTGATTTTATACCTTATCATATCTGCCGAGAACTTGTCCCTCCCACCATTCTCATTCATTAATCTTCAAGCTGTCATCCTACCTTCCTTCTTTTTCACTTCTAACTCCCCCTGCCAAGAGACTGACACACCCAGACGTAACCAGGTAACCTTACTAGGAATCCCATCTGCATTTTCAGTATCGCTTTCCCCATCTTAATTGGTTCTTGGATCCTGGGAATCCAGAGAACTGGAAGAGCTGGGAGGCATTACAGGTTTCTCTCTCCTTCCCCTCCCAGGCACCCACTCCCACCCTTCTGTTCTTTGTATGGAACCAGGACATGGCTGTGTGCTACCAAGGGGTAGACTCTGGGTGCTGGCTCCATTGACGTCAGTGGGGCAGGCATGTGCCACCTATTCCCACTTCCTGTTATTTGACATGAAACTGCTACGAGGAGGGTATGACTACATAGAGAAGTGCTCCTACCCTTTACTTACTAGAGATTTCCAATCTTTCCCTTGAAGAATAAAAGCCTTAAATGGAGCATGAAGGTCATGGAGTACTTGCTGGTTTGCACAACCCACTGGGTGCCCAGAACTGGGAATGCCGGGGCAGCTTTTCCAGTCATGGTTGTCTGATCGATCACTTCTACACTAGCCATGCACCTGTAATGATACTCTGGCCTGGGTTGTCTTCCCTCTATAGACTTCCGTGGTGATATTTTCTGCTCTGACAGGTTCAATGATGACCTCTGTGCAGATGTCAGAATCTTTGTCTTTCTCCTAAATGCCAGCCCTGCATCTCCAACCGCTCGTGGATGCCTCCATCTGGACGGGCTGTTGAAACCTGAAGCTGAATATGTCCAGTGTGCCCCCCCAAACTGACTACATGCCCCCTTCCAGATTTCCCTCTGGATAGCATCATCTTCTTATTATTCACTCAGTTCAAAACTTTGGTCATTCCAAACTCTCCCCCCTCCCCACCCAATAGAAAGTAAGTTTCTTGAGGACAGGGCCATTATTTTCATCTTCTTTTGTTGTTGTTTGTTTTTACTTAGTATTTCATTTTTCCCCAATTACATGTAAAACAATTTTTAACATTCATTTTTAAAACTTTGAATTCTAAATTCTCTCCCTTTTTCCCTCCCCTCGTTGAGAAGGCAAGCAATTCGATATACATGTGCAGTCATGTAAAACATTTCCGCATTAGTCATGTTGTGAAAGAAAACATAGGCAGAAAGAAACTCAAGAAAAATAAAGTAAAAAAAAGCCTGCTTCAATCTGTATTCAGACACCGTCAGTTCTTCCTCCGGGGGTGGATGGCATTCTTCATCCTAAGACCTTCAGAGTTGTCATGGATTGTTGTATGGCTGAGAATAGAGGAGTCCAGCACAGCTGATCGCCTTACAATGTTGCTGTGGCTCTGTGTACTGATGTCACTTCGCATCAGCCCGTGCACGTCTTTCCAGGTTTTGCTGAGCACATCCTGCTCGTCATTTCTTATAGCACTGTAGTATTCCATCATAATCCCACACCACAGTTTGTTCAGCCATTCCCTAATTGATGGGCATCCCCTCAATTTCCAATTCTTTGCCCTAGAAAAGAGCTGCTACAAATCTTTTTTGTACTTGTGGGTCCTTTTCCTTTTTTTTTTTTTTTTTAATCTTTTGGGATACGGACCTAGTAGTGCTATTGCTGGGTCAAAGGGTATTTTTATCTTTCTGTACCTGTTGCCAGAATGTTACATGTTAAAGCCCTAATCACTCACTGGCATAGTCTAGATGGCTAGATGGAATAACAACAGTAACAACTGGCATTTATGTAGCACTTTGAGGTCTGTTAAGCACTTTACAAAAACCATCCCATTTTAGGGGCAGCTAGGTGGTGCAGTGGATGGAGCACCGGCCCTGAAGTCAGAAGTACTTGAGTTCAAATTTGGCCTCAGACTGAACACTTGACTCTTGCTAGCTGTGTGACCCTGGGCAAGTCACTTAACCCCAATTGTCTAAAAAAAAAACATATCTCATTTTACCTTCACAACAATCCTGGGGGGGGGGAGCCATTATCATCCCCATTTTGTAGATGACATTTTGCAGGCAGACAGGTTAAGTGACTTGCCCACGGTACCACTAGTAGGAGTCTGAAAATTCAATTCAGTTCACTTCATAATTAAGCACCTATTATATGCAAGGTACCAGGCTAGTTGCTGGGGATGTAGGGAAAAGGTCCCTTCCTTTAAAGAGCTTATATGGGGCGAGGGGCAGGGTGCACATACAACCTTTACACAGATCAGAAAATTCAAGATGGGGAGAAAGCATGAACAGCTTGTAGGGGTTCTGAATCGGGGGTCCAAGAACTTGTCTTGCAATATAATTGGTGTCTTTTGTAGTTTATGCATTCAA